ATTCCATGTATGTTGGCATTATACTTTTATCATATAGGTCCAGATAATTCTTCCTTTCAGCATAACCACATGGTGCTTTTTTATGTTTGAATTCTTCTGTAATAAAAAGAAAAAAGGGATGAGGGAGAGAGAGAAGGAGAAAAGATAAAAGAAAAGAGGGAACAGGGGAGGAATTGGACATAGCAAAGAGAGAGGGCATTTCCGAGGAAATCAAAGGATCTAGACTAATGGAAATTAAGGGAGAGTTATTAGTTATCTATTGCTGTGCCACAAACTACTCCAGAATTTAGTGACTTACAACAATAAATATCTGTTACGTCAAAGAGAGAATACAAAGACAAGCAAAACAGAGCGGATAAAGAGAGGATAAAGAGAGGACTTTACAAGATGGAATAAGTAATAGGTTGTTGGTATACAGATGAAAATGATTTTGTTAGTCCAAGCCCTCCAAGAAGCAGACACCAAGATGAGATTAAACTAAGCAGTATTTTATTAGAAGAAACACCCAGCAGAGAATATGGAGAAGGAGCCAGAAAATGCCGAGAGAGGCAGCAGACCGAGATGCAAGTCTGATCCCAAGTGATGGTCAGAAGGAGAGAGGGTTTGTTGGACTATCCTAGACCACTGGGCGATCTCAGTGAATGGAGCAAGGCCCCAGGGGGTCCTCAGCCACATTCAGCTGTCAGAGGAGCCCCTGTCTCCCAGCAGTAGCCTGCCTCGGTGTCCCTGCTGTGACTAGTCATTCTGAAACAGCCCATGGGAAGCAGGGCCTCTGTGCAAATGCTGCCTTGGATTTCAGAGCCCAGGAGGGGGCCTTTGTGGCTTTCCTGGGGGATGTGACCTAAAACCTCCTACCTGAGGGATCTGGGCTCTTGGAACTCAAACCCTTCTCAGGCTGGGTGCTGCACGTGTTCAGTCCAGTTACAGCAGAGGGAGAACCAGGAGGTGTCAAAGTGCATCACTCGGGTTCCACAGGTATTCCTCCCGCCCCAATGTTTGACACAGCCCCACCCTCCTGTGGATCAGGGTCCATTACTTCTCCCTCCAGAAGATGTGACTGCTCTCCTCACCTGCTGGTCTTGTAAGTGAGCATAAGTGAGGCCATCTTGTTATGCTAAATGGCCCCAGCCCCTCCTCTGTGTGACTACTCACTGCTCTGCACATACTCTAAACAAATCCACAGGCTCTGTTCATTCATGGCCTCCACTTACATACGTACTCCCCAATAGCTTGATTAATTAAAACTTTCTTCTGTCATGCCTGAAGGAAACCCTTCATTACTGCCCATTTCCCCTATAAAACTGCCTCCAGATTCCATAATCTTTGAAGATGGGTGTTGAGACATTAGTCACCTGTCTTCTGGCTGGTGGCCAGTGATTAGATTTGCTGGCTAATCTAATATAGTTAAACTTCTTTTCTCTACCCCTAATTCATTGTGATTAATTGGCTCAGATTGTGATGAGCAAAGTGAATTGGTTGCTCAGGTATCAGTTCTGGCGACGTAGATGGGACCCCAGCCTCTGCCTGTGGCTAGTCGACTTGGAGGAGGTGGTTTTGGTATTTTTCCCTGTGGCTGTCTGGTGGCTTTTGCTTTCTCTTTTTTTCCACCTGGGGAATTCTCCTTGTGGCTTCCTCACTTGCCGACCGCCTCTAACACTTCAGTGATCCAGAAACCCAGGATTGGATGGTAAACTGACGGAGCTTGTGTCTGCAGCTAGGTGAGTAATCCAAAGAGCACTCTTGGGTACTATGTATGCCTTTTTCCTTCTTGGTCAGGCCAAGATCCATCTGTTAAGTGCCATTGTTTAGGAATAAAGGAAAGTACAGACTGCCTAGCATGTTATCTGGAAGACTAGTCTCTGGTTTTTCTGTGGTGTGCACGCTTCTATGGTCTATTCTCCTGAGTGTGTGTGTCATTCCTCTAGTCTGTGTGCCAGTTCTTCCCTGGGTCAGAATCCCACAGCCTCCAGGGCTTGTTACGTCATCTGTGGGGACGTGAAGTTTGCGAGCTTTACTGTCAAGTGTCAACACGGAATCATACGCCTCCATGCAGGCATTGCTCTTTGTGTGCTAACCCTTGGGAGGAGGTTGTGAGCGCACGGCCCGACCATCCTTTCCCCCCCTTTTCTGTCTTGTCCAGTACCTTCTTTGCTGTATTGTGTGTAAGTTAGATTTGGGCTTAAAGTAAACCGGACTTGGACTTCTTGCAAAATAGAAGATTTAAAAACTTTCTGCCAGGCACCTGACCCCCTACAACCAGTTGGGAAATTAGATCTTTAGCCCACCTTAAACCATTACCTCTTGCCTCTTTGGCTTGTTTTGCACTAGTGCAAAAACTGTGCCTTTGGGTGGAGTGGGATTTGACTGTGTGCCAGTTTTTCTCCATGGGTGCCACTCCATCCATCACCCCTATAAAAATGTCTGTTAGGGTGCATGCTGGCAAATGGGGCTGGCTTCAGTTATGAGCCCATGACAAAGAAAAGAATTTTTTACTGTAACGTGGCCTGGCCCAAGCATACACCGGGCTCAGGAGAAAAGTGGCCCCAAAACGGATCGCTCAATCAGGATACCATCTTGCAGCTAGAATTGTTCTACAAGAAGGAAGGAAAGGAAGATAAAGTCTCCTATGTTCAAGCCTTTATGCTGCTCTGGCTAGATCAGGGAAGGAGGGACAATGGACCGAGGAGTCCCCGGGCTCCTCCTCCCTCTTTTCCCAGGCCCACTGCTTGTCCAGGGGAAAATGCCTGAAGGATTGCCAGGTCGAAGAGAAGGACTCTCTCCTCAAACCCAGGAAGGGACACACTTCACTCAGGGGGCCCCTTTCCGGAGCAGGGTAATTTCCACTGTGACAATACCCCATAGGCCTAAAGGGACAAGGGCAACTGGCTAGCTTTTTTTGGATCCACTCTCCTCTCTATACCTCAGATCATTTTAACTGAAAAAACATTTATATGCCTAGATGCCCTGTTCCTCTCCTGGGACAAAAGCTTCTATGTAAACTGAATGCTCAAGTGACTTTTGCTCCAGGCCAGCTAAAGGTGCAAGTACCACCAAAACAATCATCTTTACAGTTCCAGATGGCCCTGCTAGATGTTCAAACACACTGCCTGACCCACTGCCACCAGAGATTCTCAAGGAGGTAAGACCAGACGTGTGGGCAGAGGGGAAGCCTGGGAAAACAAAGCATGCCCAGGCGATTCATATAGCCCGAAACAATGTCTACTAAAAACTGGAGGCTCAGAAAAGCATTCAGCCAGTTTTTCAGAAAGTCCTGGTGGCAGGATTAATCAGACCTTGCCAGTCTCCACATAATACTCCTGTTCTCCCAATCAAACAAACGAAAAACAACAACAAGAACAATTCAGAGAAATATCGGTTTGTTCAGGACCTTTGTGTCATAAATAAGGTGGTTTAGGACCTACACCCTGTGGTGCCCAGCCCTTACACCTTGCTAACCAACATGCTGGGTGAATCTGGCTGGTTTTCAGTTTTTTATTTAAAAGATGCATTCTTCTGCATACTGCTCGTGGAAGAATCACAACAAATCTTTCCCTCTGTGTGATGTGACCCAGATATTCAGGCCACTCAACAATATTGTTGGACAGTGCTGCCCCAGGGCTTCAAAAACTCCCCTACACTATTTGGGGAGGCCCCAGCTAAAGACCCGAGCCACTTACAATTATAAGAAGGATTACTGTTATAGTACGTAGATGTCTTGCTGATCGTGTGCACCATTTGTGAGCAGTGTCTGGCCAACACAATAAAGACCTTAAATCCTTTGGCTGAATATGGG